TCTCGTGGAACACAGGGTTAGTCGCAATGTGAATGGCCGCAGTACTGTCAGAGAATAGGATAGGGACTATTCTGGTGTTTACTCGTAGATCATTGAGTAAAATAAGTAGCCAAACCATTTCGCAAGAAGTTAGAGCTAGAGCTCTGTACTCTGCTTTTGTAGAAGATCGAGAGATAGTCTGTTGTTTCTTTGATCTCCAAGAAATGAGAGATGATCCAAGAAACATAGAAATCCTGTAGTCGATCTTCGACTGTCTGGACAAGATGCCCAATCAGTATCTGCAAATCCCTTTAGAGCTAGATCATCTTCTGCAGAGTAGAAAAGACCTTGGCCAAGACTACCTTTGATGTATTGAAGTACTTTATAAGCGGCTTGAAGATGAGCTGTTCGGGGAGCAGAAGAGTATTGGCAAAGTTTGTTGACAGCAAAAGTGATGTCAGGCCTGGTGATAGTCAAATACATCAGTCTGCCAATCAAACTTCGATATTGTTCTCAGTTAGGAAGCAATTCACCATCAGTTTTGGACATCTTGAGGTTGGGTATCATCGGAATTGAAGAAGGTTTGCAACCAAGCATGCCCGTGGATGTGAGTAATTCTAGTGCATACTTCCTCTGACATATGGAAATGCCTGCAGAGGTTCTAGCAATTTCTAAACCCAAGAAATATTTCAGAGGGCCTAGATCACGGAGTTTAAAACTCTGTTTCAAAGCTTCAGTTAATTGAGTTGCGAGAAGTTCAGTTGTACTGGCGATGATGATGTCGTCCACATACACCAAAACAGCAACATAATCAGAGCCTTGAACCTTAACAAAAAGTGTGTGATCTCCATAACCTTTAGTGAACCCCAATTGAAATAGAGAGGTAGAGAACTTCAGAAACCATTGCCGAGATGCCTGTTTTAGGCCATAAATCGACTTCTTGAGTCTCAAAACTGCATTCTTGGGCAAAGAGGCCCCTTTCCTCTCAGCGTATCCCTCAGGTAACTTCATAAAAATTTCTTCATCTAAGTCACCATTCAGGAAAGCATTGGAAATATCAAGTTGTTTCAGAAACCATTTCTTTGAAGCAGAAACCTTTATCAACAAACGGACTGTGGCAAGCTTCGCAACTGGTGAAAAGGTTTCAGTATAATCCAGTCCTTCTTTCTGGGTATAACCCTTAGCAACCAACCTAGCCTTGTGGCGTTCAAGACTTCCATCAGCATGAAATTTGAGTGTAAATACCCATTTACAACCTACTGCTTTCTTTCCTGTTGGTAGAGTATCAACGACCCATGTGTTTGTTCTTTCCATTGCACTGAGTTCAGTATCCTGTGCATCACACCATTCTTTTGTATTCTTTGCCTCATTATATGTATGAGGGATTGGAATTTTGGTGACGGAATTGATATAGGATAAATGAGATGGTGAAATGTTATCGTAGGATATGGAAGAAGATATAGGATTGATAAGATCAGAATGCATTGAATAGCAATGATAATCTGGAGATGAGCAGGTATTTTCTTTGTACGAGAAGAAGTTGGTGATATAGGGGAGGTATTTGTGTTTGGATTTGGTGATAAGGGAGGGTTATGAGAAGTATTAGTGTTTGAAATGGGAATACCTGAAGGCAAAGAAACCAATGGTGTGAATAGATCCAAAGATGATGCAGACTTCGAATCTGTAGCCAGAGGAAATATGTCTTCATGAAATGTCACATTTCTTGATATCAACACGGTATTGCTCCCAAGTCAAGCAACTTATATCCCTTATAACCAGCAGGGTACCCCAAGAATACACAGGCACGAGAACGAGGTTGAAATTTATGCCTTTGTTTTGGAGAAGTAGAACCATAGCAAAGGCATCCGAATGTTCTGAGCTGTGAGTAGTCTGGAGCTTTACCAGTTAGAACTTCATATGGAGTTTTATTCTGCAGAAGAGGAGAAGGAGTTCTATTAATGAGGAATGCAGCTGTCAAGACACAATCTCCCCAATATCCAAGAGGAATTTGAGCTTGGAACATCAATGCACGAGCTACATTTAGAAGATGTTGATGTTTTAGTTCAACAACTGAATTCTGTTCAGGAGTCTCTGGACAAGAGTGAAATGTTGTTATCCCTTTTTCTTGATAGTAGGATGTGAATTTCAACTCAGGAGCATTATCAGACCTGACAGATTTTACTTTTGTGTTGTATCGGTTCTCAACTTGTTGTATGAAAGCAGGAAACACAGATAGAACTTCATTCTTTGTTTTGAGAAGATATATCCATGTAGCCCTGGAGTGATCATCAACTATAGTTAAGAAATATCGATATCCTTCAACTGTTTCAACTGAAAAGGGTTCCCATACATCAATGTGCAACAATTCAAATGTTGTATTACACATATTATTTGAGTAGGAGAAAGAAAGTTTCTTCTGTTTTGCAAGATGGCAAACATGACAGAAAGCAGGTCCTTTATTCTTATGCTTGGTGGTTCCTAAAATATCAGAGATGGTGTCCAATCTTGAGAAGGAAGCATGACCGAGACGTTTGTGCCAAATACCCACATCTATCACTGCATTCAACAAAGCTGATGAAGACTGAGTATCCAACACATAGAGCTTCCCAATGCGTCTACCCCTTCCAATCGTCGACCCCTCGGTAAAATCCTGTATTTCACAGCAAGGCGTGTCAAATATAACTCTGGAGTTAAGATCTGTAGTCAAGGAGCTTATACTGATCAAGTTCAGACGAAACTCAGGGATGAACAAGACATTGTTGAGAATCAAATCTTCATTGATCCGTATCATCCCTACTCCACTAATCTTTAGGTTTGATCCGGTGGGAAGATTCACATAACTCACAATATAAGTATCCAAAGAGATAAATGAATCTCTATTGTGAGAAACGTGATGAGTAACACCAGAGTCTATCACCCAAGATTGAGTACTTAGAGTGTGTTGAGAGACAGTGAGGATCCCAACAAAGCAATAAGTAGAGGGGGAAAGGGAGATACCAGAATAATCACCAGATTGAGAAGGACTCGCTTCATTAGAGGAGTTAATGAATTGGTTCTGAAGTTGGGAGTTGAAAAGAGCTATGAAACTCTGTATCTGATCCTTTGAGAGATTTCCAATAAAGCCCTGAAGATTCAGAGAACTGTTCTCAGAAACTGGAGTTAAAGCCACTTGAGCAGCAATAGGAGGAGTCGGTTTCTGAGTTTTATCCGAAGAAGTTTTGCCTTTAAGAGTGAAGCCAGGACGAAAACCATGCTTCTTATAGCATCTGTCTGCAATATGTCCAATTGGGTTGCAAAAGGAACAGATAGGACGGCCTTTATTTGGTCCATTCTGAACATAGCAAACAGCATTCGGAGAGAGAGCATTTTCAGAAACTTGAAATGCTGCTGGAGGACTAACAACATTAGAGAAGTTCTTCTGATTCTCATCTTGATCGAGGATATTGTAAACTTCAGCGAGAGAGGGCAGAACTTTCTTCATGATGATTTGTCTTCGGATGATTGAATACGAATCATTAAGACCAGCAAGGAATTTCACTATCTTGGCTCGTTCAGCCTTCAATTGTAAACGAGCACCTTTCCCACACACACAAGGATCATCAGGTTCATCAGTACTCTCGAGGTTACTCCACAATGTTTTGAGAGTTGTGTAGTAATCTGAAAGACTCATAGAGCCTTGACGGAGGTCTTGAACTTCTTGTGTAAGGTTGAAAGTCTTTGGCAAGTTAGTCATATAGAATCGACTATGGAGATCTCGCTAAATATCAGTAGCATCACTCAACCGCAATATACTACAATAAATCTAAGGCAATACAGAGTTTAAGAGCCACGATTTCACCATAGATGTAGACCATATCCTAAAAATGATTTCAGATTCAGCAGGACGAGGTAATGTTCCATCTATGAATCCAGTCTTATTCTTAGCGTTTAGAGCACTAAGCATTGCAGCATTCTAATCATCATAGTTTGAACCATCGAGTTTCATAGAAATGATTTGCAAACCTGGATGATCAGCGTTTTGCATATAGTATGGAGATTGAGTTGGATCCTGAGAATCTGGTATTGCTGGGACTCGCGAAGATCCAAAGTCTTGAGGATTGATCGTTGGATGACTATTCGGAGCTAGATCGGCAACATCAGAAGAGGATCGAGTCGTTTTTCGAGCTGAACTCGTCGAAGCTTTCGAACGAGTGGATCGTCGAGGAATCGCTTTCAAAGACACCATCGAAGCTTCAGGATAAACCGTAGATTTCGAAAATGGAGCTTAGAAAGGACAATGCGAAGAAGAAAACGAAGGAATTAGAGCTTTGATGGCTCTGATACCATATTAGCGGAAGATTTGGAGAAGACGAAGTTTGAGAGAAAAGTTTGTTGAAAGAATTTCTCATTAATTGTCAAATGAAATTTGTTACAATCATATATACAATTGAGTCTGTTACTAAACCAAACTAAACCAATGAACTAATTAATTTAGAGTTAAACCAGCGAAAGAAAACCGGTCAACTACACTTAGTCTAATAAACACAAAACACTAACAGTTGAACATTCAATATAAAGACAACCTAAGAGTAGAAGAAGTTTTTACGAAATAAAGCCATGATGATTCCTTTTGGATAAGAATCAAAGGTCGATGATACACATATTTACAACATAGAACAGAACTTGAAGAATAAAGTTTAACTTAGTCAGTTCGAATTGGTCCTTAATATTTGAATTCTTTTTTCTTTAATTTAATTTGAAATGTCACAATTAGCTTAAAATAATCTACATTATCATATAGTCTAATGCCATAATCGAAAGTGCAATGTCGATTATACCATTATTTGATTATTTGAAAAACTTAGAGGAAGGATGGGAGTGTGCTGCAAGGAGGAGTAAACTGGAATAAGCTCCCCTGTTTTTTAGGAGTTGAGCACGTTTCTTAGAATAGGTTTAGTGGAGTTTGTTTAGCTGAATTCGTATCGGTCATTCAGTTGTAAGGTCTATTAAAGATCAGATATACATTCAGTCTAATACACCGAGAAGTATTCAGACCATTCTCTGTTTCTTTACAAAGTTCTTCATTACTTAACAGAACTTAGGGAGGAGGAACAGTGTCTTCTGCACCAACATCAAAATACATGAAAACAAGGTGAAAAAAAAATAGACACAACAGTAGTATCTGTCTTGAGCTACAAGTCAAGAACGATTAAAAAACAAAACCAACAGATGTCTCAGACAATCCAAACGAAGACTTTACGGCTTAGCGCTCAACTTGGAGAGCCACCACAGGAGATGTACCAAGGATCGTCACACGATTCTCTGTTGAAAATCTCCAACAATTGAGTTCATCTTCCTCGCGTCCTGTTTGTACTCCATATCTATAAGGATGAGTTACTTTCCATGGCTCATAGGTCATCAAAACTGAATCCCCACTCAGACCACAACCATCAGGAAGCTCCTTAGCCGAGCATGAGACGTTTCCAGGCTGTCCAATAAACAAAACACGGTCTCCCAAATCGGTGACCTCAACCCATTCACCAGCCTCCTCATCTAGCCTACTCACTCTTAACGTTAACCGAGAAAAGTCTAATACATCAGTGTTACGAGGGATTATTACCTCAACCAGGTAAAGTTCATCATTGCCAGAAGGAACCAGATAATTGACTGAACCACAGTTCGAAATCTCCGAGGGCATCAGTGGAGTCGCTTCTAGACAATAAGGATCGAAGACAAATGTGTCCCCGTTAAGAAAGTCTACATAAAACCTGCCTCTAAACGTGACTATATCACTACAAACAGCTGTTGAGATTCTCTCAAGCCGTATCCACCTCATTTCAGCACTTGTTAACACAAACAAATCACGATAGTAGCCGAGAAGCACCACAAATCCTCCTCCTCCTCCTTCTCTGTTAAGTGGAAGAAAAGCCACTGCTCTGAATTTTCTTGACAATGACTCAGGATCCCAACCGACCATTCTGTACTGATAGCCAAGAGAGAAAATCTGACAGTCGAGAATGTTCATCAAGGTAGGATCAGATTCTCCGATCTTAACTTTCACTGTGCACTGAATAGGAGGAGATGGAAGCTCCATATGATCCTCTGACTTATCTTGGTCTATTCCTCCTAAGTAATACTCATAAGTCGACGCAGAAGCAGGAGCTCGGACTCTAACGAGAAACATAGGGAACTTCTCGAGTGTGCAAAAGCCTTTGCTTTTGCGAGGTAACCTTGCGAACGAGGGAAGAGAGTAACGTGTGCGTAATAGCCAAGAAGGAAAGGGCAAGATGGAACGCCATGGGCGGCAAACAGAACGAGCATGAATAACATCGAAACAGTCTTCTAGATTCTCTGAGATAATGTGCAGTAGCTCTTCAGGGAGAAGAGACCAGTCAGGTACAGATTCTTTCGTTGCAAGTTGTGACGGAGACGAAGATAGATGCAGTTCTGAAACCTGAAAGAAAATTTTTCAATTTGTAAGGGTTAAACGAGATTTCTTTTAACAGTACATACACAAAGCAAGAACAACCTACAAACATCGGGAAAACAGATAATCAAATCAAACTTCCAAGAAGAAGAAGACTTTAGACTTCGTACAGAATCGGCGAGAAGAGACAAGTCTGACATGATTGATGATGTCTTGTTTTCCGTTACAGGTTCTGCAATTTTTGCTGATTGCTGCGATTTCCTGACCTGAAAGAAAGATTAAGCTTCTAGGTTTTAGAGGACATGAACAGATAAAATTAATCGCATAACAATCTGCTATTGAAACCGAGAATCATATCAAATTCCACAGTTGGATAAAAATTAGATTTTTTTTTTATGGGCAATTTTGTACCAAAGGGGGAGATAAGAGTCCATACCCATTTCATGATTGATGTCTTCTTCTTCGGTGCCATTTTTGCTGATTTTGTGAAATCTGAAAGAAAAGATTAAGCTTTCTGGGGTTTAGGACCCTAAATTCACAGTGAAGAGAGAGAACCGACGATCTTCCTTAAAAATATTTTCTTCAGGATAAAAAAATCAATCTTTATTTCTGTCAACAAAAACAATAATCATAAGGAAGAAAAAATGAGAAAAAAATGAGGAAAAAAATGTAGAAAAACAAATCATTCGAGTTATTTTTTACCTTTTCTTTTTGTTTTTTTTTTAGTAATCGGGAAACTTCAGAATTGATCGGAAAAGTTCATGCCAAAAACATAAACAAAAGAAAAGAAAAACACTAACAGTGAAGAATAAAAATATAAAGACAACCAGTAGAAGAAGCTTTTACGAAATAAAAGCCATGATGACTCTTTTTGGACATGAATCAAAAGGTCAATGATATACATATTTACGACATAGAACAGAACTTAAAGAGGAGCTGTGTCTTCTGCACAAACATCACTTTACATGAAAACAAGATGAAAAAAAAAAAACTAGACAGAACAATATATCTGTCTTGAGCTACAAGTCAAGAACCGATCTAAAAACAAAACCACCACATGTCCGATTTATCCAAACTAAGATTTTAAGGCTTAGCGCTCAACTTGAAGAGCCACTACCGGAGATGTACCAAGAATCGTCACACGATTCTCTGTTGAAAATCTCCAACAATTGATTTCATCTTCCTCGCGTCCTGTTCGTACTCCATATCTATAAGGGTGAGTTACTTTCCATGGCTCATAGGTCATCAAAATTGAATTCCCACTAATACCACAACCATCAGGAAGCTCCTTAGAGCATGAGACGTTTTCAGGCTGTCCAATAAACAAAACACGGTCTCCCAAATGGGTGACCTCAACCCATTCACCAGCCTCCTCATCTAGCCTACTCACTCTTAACGTTAACCGAGAAAAGTCTAATACATCAGTGTTACGAGGGAGTATTACCTCAACCAGGTAAAGTTCATCATTACCAGATGGAACCAGATAATTGACTGAACCACAATCCACAAGCTCCATGGGCATCGTCAAAGGAGTCGGTTCAAGTGAATAAGGATCGAAAACAAAAACTTCTCCGCTAAGAAAAACTACATAAAACCTGCCTCTAAATGTGACTATATCCTTGCAAGTAGCTGTTGAGACTCTCTCAAGCCGTGTCCACCTCATTTCAACACTTCTTAACACAAACAGATCATGGTAATAGCCGAGAAGCACAACGAATTCTCCTCCCTTGTTAAGTGGAAGAAAAGCCACACCTCTGAACTTTGTTGTCAACAATTCAGGATTCCAGCCAACCATTCTGTAAAGATAGCCCAGAGGGAGAATCTGACAGTCGAGAATGTTCATCAAGGTTGGATCAAAGTCTTGGATCTTCACTTTCACTGAGCACTGAATAGGAAATGGAAGTTCCATGTGTTCCTCTGATTTATCTTGGTCTACTCCTCCCAGAAAATACGTAGCACACAACGCAGCAGCAGGAGCTCGGACTCCGAAAAGGAACATAGGAAACTTCTCGAATGTGCAAAAGCCTTTGCCTTTGCGAGGGAGCTTGTCAAACGAGGGCAGAGAGTAACGTGTTCGTAATAGCCTAGAAGGAAAGGGAAAGATCGATCGCCATGAGCGGCAAACAGAACGAGCATGAATAACATCGAAACCGTCCTCTAGCTTCTCGGAGACAATGTTCAGTAGCTCTTCAGGAAGAAGAGACCAGTCCGGGAAAGACAATGCAGGTTGTGCCATTTTGGGTGAAGAGAGCTGCAGTTTTGAAACCTGAAAGAAAAAATTACAACTTAAATGTAAAGCTACATCTATATTGATTTAAAACTATATTTAACCATACATACACACAAGCTACAATAAATAGAATCTGCCAACAAACATCTGCCAAAATTCCGAACTCAAACTCGTAGACTCGTAGTTATGCCAAGAAATGAAGAAGTAGCAAATAAGGGATAAAAAGATTTCGTACACAATCGGAAATGTCTAGTAGCATCTTCTTCTCCGTTGCAGGTTTTGCTGATTGCTGAGATTTCACAACCTGAAAATAAAAATTCAGCCTTTAGGGTTTCGGAAACATGAACAGAGGAGATCAGTGGCATAACATTCTGCAACTGAAACAAAAAATCAAATCCAATTTCAGAATTGAATAATTTTTTTTTTTTTGGCAATTTTTGACCAAAGGGAGAGAAAGAGCCTGCACCCATTTCATGGTTGTCTTTTTCTTCGGTGCCATTTTTGCTGATTTGCGAAATCTGAAAGAAAAGAATTAAATTTCTGGGGTTTACGAAATTTGTAAACAAACATATGAACAGAGAAGATTTACTACTTCAAACTGGTACGAATTGACTACAATATTAGTATAAACACAGACTAGAAGAACATGATTTGCAAACAAATATTTGAAAACAGAGAATTAAATCCGATAAAAAATAGATTTTTCAAATACGAAAGAGTCCTTACCCAAACCCTAAATTTACAGTGGGCAGAAGTTACAATAAACACTCTACTAATCTGCTTCTTCAGTTACGGTGAAAATAAAGAAAAATGATTGTTTTTGTTGTAAAACTGAAACCCCACTATCTTCCTTTTCTTATTACATTACGCACGATCTTCCTTAAAAATCTCTTCTTTTTCCCGTTTTTTTTCTTCATAGATTTACTTTTTTACCGTTGAATGGAGAAAATAGAAAAAACATTGATTACCACAATTCTGTTAAAAAAAAAAACAATATTTACTTATTTAATGAACCCGTAAATGAACATGTTATCATGAACAATCTGACTAGCTTTCATGTGTAACAATGATGTTACCAATCACCCATTAGGCCAAAAAATCGATTTCCCTCCTGCCTGATTTCATGTCCTTTATGATCTGCTCATAGTTTCGTTAGTAAAGTCGTCTTCTGTCAAGTAAGAATTCCCATTAGGGGATCAAGAGGGATTCATGGCACAGCTTTTGAGATAAAAAACCTTAATATTGAAGAGATGGTATCATCCTGACGAACCTAAAAGATGGTATCATCTCGAAATGAAGCATCCAAATTGGTCGAAAACTATAATTTTCTAATTTAACAAAAAAAACCAAAACCAAAACAAAAACAAATTATTATTATATTCCGAAGAACCCCTCTCTTAGGAATTCACTGATGGACATGTTCTAAGGTAGACAAGTAGTGTAGATGAAATAATGTCTCAGAGGATTTTAATCGTTTTGTCACCCTAAGAAACTCGATTGGGGTTTGCAGTATGTAATTGTTTGTGAAGTGTGCAGGACTGATACAGAAACTGACTCAGGGGGATACTCAAGGTTTAGATTCCTAGAGTAATGGTTCTAGTGAAAAAGAGCTGCCTTAACTACCGTCGTACCTTGACGCCAGTACAAGTTTCACGGAGTAGAAAGAAAGCTGAGCTAGTTTTAGAGAAGTCAAGTGATGAAACTAGCTCATTTCCCTCAAACCAGAAAGGGAGGAAAGAAAAAAACAAAAAAAAAAAGAAAAAGAAAAAGGGCAGCTTGAAAATAAAATTAGTTGATCCCCTCAAAAGAAAGATCATCCCTTGGTATGAAAAGCTTCCTTCACCTGTGGATAAAGGTTGAAAACAGGAAAAAAGGATCGATAAAGGCAGATGGGTGTGAAAGCTAGCCCATGAATCAGGATGGCCAAACTCTTATGAATCAGAACAAGCTGAAAGTGTCTCGTGACTCAGAAGCTGTGTCAAATTCCAGCGCACTTAAAAGGAAATTGGTAAAAAATGTGTACAAAAAGTTGTTTTTCAAAAGCCAGTGCATAAATGATAGTTGAAGTGTCACTAACTGCTCTTTCTCACCGGTTTATGTGTGAAAGTGCCCGTGAATATTGATGGTCAAACGTGTGTGTGTGCCTTTGATTCAGTTTGTGTCCCAGTACTTTTGTTATATGTGAAACAGGAAAGTGGGCCAGAATTTTCAAGTCTTGGTGGTTTTGTGGAGACATTCTGCGTGTTGGGCCTAATTTGAGAAAAAAGCCCACAAAGGCGATGGAAGTTGAAAAGACGTGGAAAAATGGAAAGCAGGGGAGTTTTTTTATGGAGAGTGGGGATCTGAAAACTCAGCACAATTTCCTGTTTTAAACCCTAAATCTTTTCTTCAAAAGGAGAATCAAGAAGAGAGTCATTGATCGTGAGAGGAACTCAAAGAGAGCTAATTGGTGTTCGATCTAAGGCAAAGATGACACATGCAGATGGCGATGAACAGAGGCCTCATCTAATCGATGAGCACAATGGAGAAAGAGAGAATCCAACTGATGTGTTTGCTGATCAAAATCCCGAGGCATCAGTTGGACCAGCAGATAGTGCAGGCTCGTTTGCCACCGCAAACGATGGAGATGAACGAAGTGGGTCATCTCCGAACCCTGAGGAGAGGGCGGATGGCAGAGAAAACAAGGCTGACTCCGTGGTTACCCAGAAAATTGAGGATGTCGAGGAAAAATCCGAGGGTGAAGATAGCAAGAAATCTGATGAGGTGAATCTCCCTGCAGTACAAGAATCAGCGAATCAGCAGCAAAAGCTCAGGAGGAGGAGACAGCATCCACCACTGAAGCGTCACTAACCTCGATCTCGGTGAAAAAACAGGCTGCAAAAGCCGCTCGCAAAAAGAAGACGCTGAAGGCCCAGGGTCTTCCAGCTCCTTCGAAGAAAGCAAGAAGTGAACCGTCTCCGGTGCCGGAAGCAGACCCTGAGCCTGTCCCTGAATCGGTGCCACGAAAGCGAACCAAAAAACCCGATCTCGCAAAGAACAGCCGTCTCCCGATCAAGCAAGGTATGATCACTTTGCTACATGACAACTTTGGTGTGAAAGAACTGTCGATATAGGTGAGAAGGATGAATGAGGATACATCAAAGTGATTAAAGACAGCGGCTTGGAGTCAATGGTGATTGGAATCACACCGTACGTGCCGCAGGTGATTCACGAGTTTTATGCAGGACTTCCTGGTGAGCTACCCTCTGATCCAGATCAGGAGATTTGGGTCAAGCTGAGGGGTTTTTAGTACTGCTTCTCACCTACGTGGATCAATCGCGTCCTCAATCTGAACCCACTTAGCGAGGCTGAGGTTCAAGAAGAGTCAGTTTCTGAAGCAGTATCTCTGTCTGATATTGCCAAGCACTTGTCGAAAGGTGGAAGTGGCTGGAGTGGGTTGAGTACAAGGAATCTCTCACCGGTTTTTGCTGTCCTGATTGTCATTGCAGCATACAACTGGATTCCTTCAACCAACAAGAATCACATCTCTGAGGAATGTGCTCGACTGTTGTACAAGCTGAGTCATGGTGTGAGGATGGACTTCGGAAGGCTGGCTTTCAAGCAGATTTTTCTGTGAGCAAGATCATCAAAAAGAACACTCACTGGCTGGTGTTCCCATGTCTGATTCAGAAGATTCTGAACCTGCAATATGAGCCTCAGCTGGGTCAAGGGGAGACTCACATTGTACCATCTCGGTACAAGAAAGATTCTCGCAGTGGTGAGGAGTTCATTAAAAAAGAGGCCGCAGCTGCAAAGAAGGATAAGAAGAAGGGAAAGCAGAGGGCTGCTGACTGAGATCTCCTTTTCCGCCACCTCAGTCGTCTCAGCAGCAACCTGCGTCATCTCCAAGTGTACCACTCCGGTCTTTTCATGCTCCACCTCCTGATGCATCCTTCAGGCCATCTGACTATGCCCCTGGTAGGACTCAAAGTGCACCTCTCGGGGTGATTCGTGTTCCTTTGGCACCGGCTAGTGCAAATGAAGTAACTTTGACATTACGGGATGTGTGTCGTGTGCTTAGTCATCTCCACGGTGTGGTCAACATGGTGATTGACTCGTTTGCAAGTAAGTTTTCTGACTCTGACTTGTATTTTATTTTTATTGTTGACCATTGTTTTTACTTTCGGTGGTCACAAGCAGGGGGAGAAAACATGTGGGAAGAAGTTCCACGAGACAATGCGGGAGATGATGCGGGTGCTTGATTTGTGGGGGAGCACTTGTAATAGTCTAGTGTTTTTTTTTTAATTAGGCTAAGTTTGTGGGGGAGTGTGTTGTACTTTGCTCCTTAAATCCTTGTTGGCATTGTTTGATTCAAGACTTTGTGTTTGACTGTTTCATCGTATGGAATGTGTTTTATTTGCCTTTGGATGTCTTGGTACTTGGTGTTTCTGTAGCTGTTTTTGTGCTGTGTCTGAGAACAGGTGCTTATGATTCACACGAAGCTAAAAAAAGGGAGATTGAAGATGTAGCTGCACCTGAAGCAGTTGCTGTACCAGATGAACTGAAAGATGGAATGCCACAGGCATGAAGTACGTGACAAGCGAAGCATTTGGAATGAGGAGGTGGACGAGTAGCTGATAACACCGTATTTTGACCACTTTTATAGATCTTTTTGAAATACTTTTTCTATGTTTTTAATTATTTTTAAGTACTTTTATTACGTTTTTCTAGTATTTGTAGTTCCAAGACTCTTTTCAGGAAACTTAGGGAAAAACTTAACAAAATGGATAGAAAACCAGATTTCAGCTCAGAGTCAAACCGTCAGAAGTTCACCCCCGATTGAAGGCCTTCTCACCGTCTGATCCAGCTCAAATTTGGAGATCTCAAAGATGGAAGTATTAGCTTTCCAGCACACTTTACAGCTTGGCAATCCAACGGTTCAATCAAAAGATACGCGAAAAGCAAGATGTCCCGTAAACCAGCCGGCAAGCATTTCCACCCGCGGCCAACAGGCCATTCCCCGAGGTCACAACCATCCCGACCGCGGCCAGCCACCCATTCCCTGCGGTCACGCACTTCCCGACCGCAGCCAGCTAACTCCGAGTTCGAAGGCCCATTTCTGAAGCCCGTATCATTTTCCTAGCCTCAATTCCGGAACCCTAGACACCATAGAGTATTGAAGACTATAAATACATATTATTTAGGTCGTTTTTTAGAAGAAAAAAGAAGAGAGACAAAATACTTTACAGAAATTTTACTTTAAGCTTTGTTTTTGGGTTTTAGGGAGAGAGAGATCTATCTCTTGAACCCTTGTTCTTTCTTTTTCAATTTCGGTTTCTGTTCTACTTTTTAATACTAAGTTTTTTATTTCGTTAATCATGCCTGAGTAGTTTTATTGTTGGGTCTAAGGGATTTTTCGATGGGGATACATATGTTCGATGAGGATTCCATTGGCTATTGAGCCGAATCTTAGAACTTTTTCTTCTGAATTCGTTTTTACTGCATGAGAGTAGCGTCATGAACTACAATCTGATCCATATGCTTGGTGACACGAAAGTTTTCATCCGGTGTCAGATCTAGTTTGGGAGAGCAAAACAAACATAGGAGTGGAAACCTACCTATGGGCGATATGTGAATGCTGACGAGTCTTAAACATAATGCACCTCTTCTTTTCCAGGGCCAGAGTGGAAACCTACTGGTCAGGGTTAAGAGAGATAGTTGTCTATGATCACGACAGTGGCGTATTTATACGTCCGTGACTCCAATTCGAAAAGTTTAAGCTAAGATCTTATCAAATTTACTTTCTAGCAATGTTTTGAATCGTTCATACCCCTGAGAAAACTTTCTTGAACCCCAGCGCTTTCTTTCTTATAGATTTACACCGATTTTTATTCAAGCTTTATTCTAGTATCTTTACTCTTTCAATCAATTTTTACTTAGCAATTAGGTTTAGCCATTTTTCTCGTTTTTACTCATTTTTCGTTAAGTTTAGTTATTAGGTCCTTTTAATTCCCGTATTCTCTCTTTAAGATTCGTTTTTATGTTTTAAACACACCACCAAAACCCTCACAAAACTCGCCTGGTTCTAGACTTCCTTACTTCATAATTCTTTCGAAGGCTTTTGCAGGAAAGATCCTCCTTCCCTGTGGATTCGATCCCTAAGTACTACAATCGATCAGCTGTGCACTTGCGGCTATTGATTTCATTTAGGGTAAAACTTGACACCCTCACCACACGACCACATCAGTAGCTGAGTTGGACCAGTAGGAATGGGAGTCTTGGAATGGAAGCAAAGCTGGATGAGAATAGCGGAGCAAATTAGGAAGGATGGAAAATTTCCTTAAACATGCAAAAGTTTAAGGAAATAGAAAATATGCACCAAGCGACAAAAATGGAAGTTGTGGTGTAGGGTTTTGGCGAGTATAGCCGCATAGCCTACTAGTTATAAGTAGACGTGTTAGAGCATTGTAAGTGCTTAACACAACTACTAGAGAGCACTTAGCATAAGGGTGAGAGATTCGAGTATTAGGGTCTGCATCAAGGGTTAAGGGTTTTTCTAGAGTTCTGAGATCAAGTACAGATCAAAGAACGGAGAGAGCTAAGGCGGAAGATCAATGTGTGTCTTGAGTCTGTCCTAAATCGTGTTAGAAACTTGTAAGATTTATTAACAGATTTATTAGCAATAAATTTCAGTTAAAATAAAAAACTCTGTGTTAAGTTGTGTTGTTGTTCTTGAACTAAGACTCTTGCGTTTACATTCTTTTCTGTTGCAGGCTCAACCATTTTCGCTGATTGCTTCGATTTCACAACCCTAAAAGGAAAAGTAAGCTTCTAGGGTTTAGGAAACATGAACAGAGGAAAAAAAATTAGATTTTTCAACTTTGTACTGAAGGAGGAATGAGTCTGTATCCAAACCACGGATGGTGTCTTCTTTTTAGGTGCCATGTTTCCGAAATCTGTAAGAACTATCTAAGCTTCAACAAACAAGAACAGAGAAGATTTAATCACATAACAATCCTAATAAACCGGATTCTCTGAATGCATAAACAAAGACTACAAGAACAAGATTTTGCAAACAAGATAATCCATTTCAAGAATTCAGATTTTTCAATTTCGTACCAAAACGCTAGATTAAATAGAATTTTGGAACCCTAAAAGTGACAGAGAAGAGAAGATGTTCAAAGCTCGAGGTGACCTAAGTGAGTGGGGTTCAGCTTCTGTCTGAAATGGAGGGCCTCACGTGCTTCGTTTAAATTGAAGCGTACCGTTGCAGATTAAACCCAAGTTACAGATAGAAAAGTTGGAAAGAGATTTCTTCAAATCAAATTTTATTAAAAAGGGCCATTGGTCTTGATTGATGCAAATGCATTAACTTTTCATTTGGTTTCACCGTGGAACTGAACAAGAACAAAGCTTCTATAATGCTTCCCAAATCAGCTCCAACATAATCGAATCTTCACAGTCACATGGAACAAGATAACTGCAAGATTTGTATAAAGACTGCGAGGGAATCAGAATAATTATAAGATTTCTCCGGTGACTGATGTATAGTAGTTGTGCTGGATTTCTCACAATTGGGTCCGGCCGCGAAACCCAGAATAATCGGGGTTAGGTCAGATAAATTACCGATTCAAATGTAGGATTCAGCCCTTCAAGAAATTCGCGGATCAACTAAGTATCACTTCGCACGTGCGATCTGGTGAGCTCCGAGATATCTGGTTAAAGTCAAAGATATTCCACTAACAGTTCAGGACCGTTACGGAGATCATGAAATGGTGTAACACGAAGTAGCCCGAGATACGCGGCTGCAGTTCGAATCTCGAAGAGAGGTATAAAGGGAGTTCAAGACACACGTAGAAAACGACACTTTCCCTTTGGAAAAACTCTAGAATTACAGTTATCTTTTTGTACTCTTTCTCTTCGAGAAATCCTGTATTCATCTATGATTAAATCAATACAAATCACTTTTCTTCAATACATTTCTATACTCGATCGATTCAAAGACAAGTCTGGCCCATCGTTATAAATCCCTTCCCTAAAACTATATACAAAGTAATTTTTGAGTGTGGAATTTAGCAACCACATTTTGGCGCTATCTGTGAGGATTTATCAAATTTTCTTACTCAACACTACAAGAAAACATCATGATTTCTGACGGAATTTCCGACGGTTTTTTTGCCATCGGAAATTTCCGACAGAATCCCGACCAAAAACTTAAAATAACCGACGGTTCAGATGTCATCGAAAATCGGTTGGAATTTCTGACGAATTCCGACCGATACTTAAATAGTTGGAGATTTGATTATTTTTCCGACGAAAGTAATAAAAATAATCAAAATTTTTATTTTTTTTATTATTTCCGTCGGAAATCCGTTAGAAATTTAATTAAATTTCCGACAGATTTTCGACGGATGCTTTAAATTGTCGATTTTGAAAACTCTGTCGGAAAGTCGTCGAAACTTTGATAATATTTCCGACGAATTTCCGACGGATATAAGAAAAATAATTAAACTTTTGACAATTTGGAGTCAGAGATTGGCGAATTTGACGAGAGTTCTGAATATTCTTCCGATGAATTTGTAATACTATTTATATTATTATGAAAAATGTAATTTTATTATGTTTTCAAGATTTTAAAATACTAATGTATGCATTCTTTAGTCAAATATAATTTTTGCACCATTTTACCAAAAAGAAAAATAGAACTATATCATTATATATTGAGATTATATGTTTTTATAATTTTTAATAATAAATATAATCACTATTTTAACAATAATAATAATAATTCCCAAACCCTAAACATTAAACAATCATCCGTCGGAATTCCGTCGGAGATATCCAACGGATTTCTGACCGTTAGATAGATATTCTATCGGATTTCCGTCGGAAATGATAAAAACACGTGCTTAAATCGATTTTTACATGTGTTTTTTAAAATGGTCGGAAATCCGTCAGGAATTTCCGACGGCTTTCCGACAAAACAAAAATATTTTGACGGATTTCCGACGGAAATGCGACGAATAAGGGTTTAGAAACATCGAAATTGAATTTTGTTTTGACAATTATGGTTGTTATGATGATATTAGCTATTATAATTGAGTTATATGTTATTTTATCTCAAAATTAGATTATTTTCATCATTTAACCAAAAATATATATCAAACCCTAAAACATAACCTTAAGTTCTATATATCTTTAAGAAAGTTATATGTTGCTCATTAGTAGATTTCAAAATTCATCATAACTTTTGTTTTATGTTGATTTGTAAGGGAAATGTTGTTATATGAATCTAATAATCTATTGTAAAGACTAATCTCATTAATTTTTGCAATTTTTTATGCCCTAATCATTAATCCGTCAGATATCGGTAAAGACTAAGGTTTCGAGCCTGATGTTGTGACTTACGGTATCATCATCAATGCGCATTGCAAGGCTAAGAAGCATGATGAAGCTATTAGATTCTTCAATGAGATGGAACAGAGGAATTGCAAGCCAAGTCCACACATTTTCTGCAGTCTGATCAATGGGCTTGGCTCAGAGAAAAAACTGACACAAGCTCTCGAGTTCTTCGAGAGATCAAAGAGTTCTGGGTTTCCTCTTGAAGCTCCAACTTACAATGCACTAGTTGGAGCTTATTGCTGGTCAAAGCGAATGGAAGACGCGTTCAAGGTCGTGGAAGAGATGAGATCAAAAGGAGTTGGTCCAAATGCAAGAACGTATGATATAATCTTGCATCATCTGATCCGAATGCAGAGGACGAAAGAAGCTTATGAAGTTTATCAGAAGATGAGTTGTGAACCGACGGTGAGTACTTACGAGATCATGGTGAGGATGTTCTGCAACAAAGAGAGATTGGATATGGCGATCAAAATTTGGGATGAGATGAGAGGAAAAGGTGTTCTTCCTGGGATGCATATGTTCTCGAGTTTGATCACAGCTATGTGTCATGAGAACAAATTAGACGAGGCTTGTGAGTATTTTAATGAGATGTTGGATGTGGGTATTAAGGCACCGGGACATATGTTTAGCTGTCTTAAACAAGCGCTTCTCGATGAAGGCCGGAAAGATAAAGTCGTGGATTTGGCTGTGAAGATGGATAGGCTGAGAAAAACTCAACTTCTTAGCTGAAAATGGATTTTCTCGGCTCTGTTTCTCTTCTTGTTCATCGCTTCTACTACGTTTTGTTTATCTTTTTGAATTGTTATGATTTATGGTCTATCCAAAATTTCCAGAAGATAATAGTAGTTAAACTCTTTTCTCTCCGAGCAAAAATGCACGGAAACAGTCGTCCAAACCGTGATCTGTGATGGTTCTTTCTTCATAATCTTTAAGCTGTCTGCTGTCCGAGTAGTAATCTAAGCATCCTATAAAAAAAAAAAAATCTAAGCATCTTAGACTACACTATCACTCTATCATAAATTGTTGTTACGGTATCTCTACTGTTTAGCTTTATTACAATGTTTTGTGATATCTTAATTCAGAATTCAAAACGTAAAAAATAGTTAATAAAATTCTCATCGCTAATCGTCTAGACTTCAGTAAAAAATTTTGTTGGTTTAGTAATTACAAAATAAATGTAACTTATTAGCTGAATGCTCCCTTAAATGCTCATTCCTCCATGTGAAAACATAGAAAAAGGAATATTTAATAGAGCATTTACATCTTCTAAATGCTTTCCTAAATATTATATTAACAAAAGTTTATTGACTTATTATAAATCGGGCCTAATTATAAAGAATTATGCCCATGAATATACACTACCAATCAAGCTCAAGAAGTACAAAACTAATAACTCCAACATTTACACACAAAAAACCCCAACATATCTTTATTGTGGTCGTGTGTTAGACTGTTAGTATCACTCTACTGACATTAACGACTACAAGTCTACAAAACAAACAGGGCCTATGTTAACTTGGTTTTTGTACGAGCGACTCTGTAAAGCTATACACGTATCAATAGAGCATTCGTTGATTAAAATCTCGATTAAATTGAATAATAGTAGTTCATTAAATTGAACACATGATGATGTCGTCAAACACTGTGAGGATGAGATGTCTTCGATAGGGTGTATGACTTAAGTTACATCGCCATGACAAACGACAAGTCAATGTAATTAAAGTAACAATATGTTTTTTCATAGCAAAAGAACAAATTTAAAGTAACAAAAAAAAAAAAATCAAGGGAGGCTATGCTAAATGCTATTTCAGGGCAACCTTTTTATGGAATTAACTTTAAATATGTAAACCTCTTTTTTAGCATATTGTTGATAGGATATTTTAGTATTTTACTCAAAAGTAATTTCATGAATCATGGCGATCAGGTGATGCATTATTTACCTCTGTGAAAGAACATTACTCCTAATATGAATATATGATGCATTATTTGCATTAAGTACCTTCATAACTTTGATATAATGACCATACACATTATTTTTATGATACTAAAAAATAATATTGCCTTACTAATAAAAAATAGTCAGTATATTGAATTTGAAATTCGACCGATGTGTTTTATCTGTGGTTTTAACTTTGACATTAGTCGGCCGCTTTAACAAAACTAAGATTTTCTGTACTGAATTTCAATATAAAATAATAACATTAAAATGGTAAACCATTCTCATTATAGTTTAATTATACAAGTAAAATTGTAATCTACGTTTTGGGATGAAACAGAGTATCTCTTACCCGAATTTTTTTTCACAACAAAGTAGGTATGTGTGTGTAGCTTAGAGTTAGAAGAGAAACATAGAAAAATATAACTTTGTAAAAGGAAAAAGAGGTTCAAGAATGTTATAATTGGGGTGTAATAGAAGAAAACGCCAACGAAGTTTAAAGGGTGGAAAGTATAAAGACACGAACAAAAAAATATCAAATTATGTAAACAATGAAAAATATGTGGAGGGGCTTAGAACTTATTATTCAAACTATAGACTACATATATTAGTTAGATTGAGTTGTCTACTTCGTAAAATCGGACCCCCACACACCTTATTTGCTCATCGAATCATTGCCCCTTAAATTGCTACATTCCTTTCTATCTTCTTTTGTTCTATTACTATTCCCTTTTACTGTTACATACCTAAATTAAATAATTGAATGCGTGAAAGTGTTGTTTATCTATAAACCTATTATTATCATTCATCCGATCTTGCACAAATCCAAAGCGTAGAGCCGATCCTAGATTCACAAGCAAGAAAATGAATTTAAACCAATCGTCAAAGAGATCTAACTCTCGGAGCTCGCAAAGATCCGATGTCGGTTTACAAACTGCCGGATCGAGCCCCCAGACTGTCGCAGTCCCGGACCTTAGAGTCGCAGTAACAGAGCCTGTCGCAGCGACCACAGTTACAACCCAAAACATACCTCCAACGGAGACGGGTTGTAACACTTACTCCCGAGAGAAAAACAGCTCTCACAACCCCGCTATATCCATGGATCTGACACTGATCGGGCCACCGCGCGTTATCCGCCAATATGGCCTGAATCGCTGAGTCAGCTGAGTGCTGAAGAAGCGGCTGAAATACGCCGCGCTATGGCTCTCTTAACCGAGAGACAACGCGAACTCGAGATGACCATCCAATGGTAGTAGATCAAGCTCGGACATGAAATAGGCGAGGATACTTACACCTCTGAATTTCTCACCAGTTCAAACAACGCCGAGCATGCACTTCGCGATCCCCGCTGCTTTGGGACTATCCCTAAGCAGACGACCTCGACAAATCCATTGACGGTCATCCCCGATTTCATCAGGACCAAATGACCTTACGCGGGCTCTCCTGCAGAACGTTTGCCATCACCCCCACTTTCCCCAAGGAACGAATTTCCTAACTAGAGATGGGACGGCATCTCAAACCCAAACTCAGCCCCACGACGTCAGTCCGTGACCAAAACAAATACCGTCAACCAAGGTCATCCGCAGACCCAGCGCAATAACCCGAGAACGAACACAGCGAACATCACTGATTTGTTCGACACCAGGGAGACTCGCTACAATCTCCAAAGAGAGCAAGGTCATGGAGATCATAACGATCTCCGAGATCACAACGATCTCCGAGACATAGTTGATCGGGAATTCTTCGAAAGATATGCCGACCGGACCTACAATGAGATTCAGCTGCTGAGCTCACAAGTTCATCATGCTACCAGCTCCGCGTAGGGACAAGATAATCTAGGAAACTCAGAGAACATCCTTCACACGAAGAATCACCGATGTCCGACTTTGTGACATTGACAAGGTAAAGTTCCTAGAATATGCTGGGAAGGGCGACCCATGACCTCATCTCAGAGCATTCAGGCTCGCCATGATAGGAGCCCACCTAAGCGACGAGGAACAAGAGGCAGGACACTGCCGCTTTTTTGTCAAGAGCCTAATGGGTCCCGCTCAAGAATTGTTCGCTACGCTCAAACCAAACTTCATCGACAACTTTACACAACACGTATCTTTTTTATCGAATCGAGAAAAACCGAAGCTAAACTTTGGAAATTCAAACAAGAACCCGAGGAATCTCTCAGATCCTTTATGGAAAAAATTAAAGCTATCAAGGCCCAGATAACTCATCAAAATGAGGAAGTCGCCTTGTTAGCTTTGCGAAACGGGCTAGTTGTCACGTCTGAGTTCTTTCAAGAACTCACTGTGCAAACTCCCATCTCGTTAGACGATGCATTACATCGAGCCACTGCAGATGAGGAGATCGCAACTCGCAAGGGAGAAATCATAGGTGCCCCGCCCGCGAAAAAGACCTAAAAGCGAGGGACACCACTCCTACGCCATTGATAGCCCTAATTCTAAGAAGGATAAGGCTAAAAAAAAGAAAACTTTGACGAAAACAAGATTTGCCTATTTCATGAAAAGAAAGCACATTCCACAGAGGAATGCGAACTAGATTAAGGCTATTGGCTTCAAAAGGTGATCCAGAGGACACTAAAGAAAGCCGAGGAAAAATTCAAGGAGAAGGAAAAGGAGAAACCTCCCAAAGCTGAAAAGAAAAAGCCCGCCCCTAAGAAAAGGTAGCGAGCTGCCATTGACGAAGCTCCAGAATCTCAACCACCAGCTCCTAAGAAACGAAGTGACCTAATTTTCAAAGACCTTAACATATGCAGAGGATCAATGAAATATGTGGTCACCCCATTCCTGCACCTCGAAAAACAACAAGCTCGCGTTTGGCTAAGTTATGTTCTTTTCGAGGGGGAGTGGCGCCTAAAGCACCAAAGAGAGTAGACTTCATCTTTGGAAGCTCTCAGCTGTGCCGCGATACAATAAACTCGATCAAGTCTCATCAAAGGAAAGTCAAGTCGAACATCGAACCAAAACAACCCCTAGAAGGACCGGATCACGAGATCTCCTTCCTGGAAAGCGAAACGTTCGTCTTGACAAGCCACACGATGACGTACTAGTAATCCGGCTCGACGTAAGCGGATTTGAGATGCCTCGAGTCATGATCGATATTGGAAGCTCTGTAGATGCATTCAAACGAATGGGTTTCTTCACCTCCATGCTTAGGGGTGAAAGACACCCTTGACCGGCTTTTCCGTAGAAACTTGCTACTCCTTAGAAACCATACAACTCCTTGTAGTAGCGGGGGGAGTACGAAAAGCAATTGACTTTGTGATCATAGACCAAAGCGCACCTTACAACGCCATCCTAGGAAAGCCGTGGCTCTATGCCACGAAGGCAGTCCCCTCCGAAAGGGATTCAAACCTTGCGAGGCAGCCAAAAAACTGCCCGACATTTCTATATGAGATGCTTTAAACAAGCCGAACAATCTCTCGCATAACAATTACTGAAAGAGGATGAGCTCGTGATGAGTTGCATAAAAAACAACAAAAACCCTTCTGTGGGAGAACCCCACAGAGAGTATGCATCGACAAAACTCACCTGGAAAAATGCATGGGTATCACAAGAGATCTCTCACACACCATTAGAAACGAGCTGCTAAATTTTCTAAAGGAAATCATCAACACTTTTGCCTGGTCCACCTCCGATATGCCCGGTATCAACCTCGAAGTCACCTCGCATGAGTTAAACATGGACCGCACTTTTAAGCCTGTAAAACAAAGAAGGCACAAGTTTGGCCCCGACAGGGCTAAAGCAGTCAACAACGAGGAAGATCAACTCCTAAAAGTCGG